CGAGACACTAAATATACACTTATTTCGATATGAAGCTTCCAGTTCCTACCGATGTTCCCTCCCTGCTCGAGCCGTTGTTATCTGTCTTGTGATGAATGATAAGTGACCTTCTTCGTTTAGTGGTCGCGGTGGCGACACAAATACACAACACAACCAACCATACCCCAAAATAAAGGGTTTTTGTCTTCCCGCGTTGCACTGTCTTCCCGCTTGCCCTCTTTTGCTCCAAATGGCACGTTTGTCTTTTTGGAGCTACGTACATACACACTGGATTCTTTATTATTTTCCAAACCCACAAGAAAAGAAAAGGCAGAGCAGTGAAAAGGTAAGCAAAAGACAAATGTGGTAATAGTTCTTCTCCTCCTCCACTACCACTTGTGGACACGTACCTACTGCCAAGACAAATTTGAAAATGTTGTTTGGTTCTCAAAAGGGTGAGAATAGAACGTACTACTCTAACCGCAAAGCTTCACCGGCAAAAGAAACTCAGGAGAGCAGGGGGCTGTATCTGGCCCCAAACTTTCGAATTATGTTGTACCTTGAATGCATATACATTTTGGAATGCACTTGTGTTCTCCTCCTCTACCTCTACTCTTGTGTTTTTAAGTCATTTTACTTAAGTACCATCATCGGCTAATCGCTACACCATTACCTCTAGAATCAGCCTCAGCAATGAAGAGACCAAACTTCTAGCTGCAAAGGCCAAGGCATCCGGAGCCCATTAGAGGTCTCAGTAAGTAGGTTTCGGAGTTTGGGGTGGGGGCAGCCCCGAGGTAAAGGGAACAGGATGCGATGTAACCAATGGTCACGCAAGGTAGCGATAGCAGTACCCGTACACAATAGGCTAGGGCTCTTCAAATGTTTATCGTGGTAACTACCAAACTGATGAAGTCAAAATTTTATTAAATATGAAACACAATATCTTAATCAAGTCGACCAAATTAATATAACAATCAAATTAATCAAACAAAAGTTTAACCTAATTGGTTAATCGAGTTAACTAGGGCTGCAAACGAGCCGAGTCGACTCGAGTCGAGTTTTAGCTTAGCTTGAACTCGGCTCATTTATAAATTTTTTAGCTCGAGCCGACTCGAATTTTGATCATCCAGCTCGAGCTCGAGCTGGACTCGATTAAAAATAATCCAGCTCGAGCTCGGTAAATGCTCATTAACACAGCTTGTCAAGCTGAGTACAAGCTCGGCTCAAGATAAGCTCGATTTGAAACCATTCTAGCTGAAAAATGTGTACAAATAAGAACATTAGAAATTAAAAATGATAAAAAGAACACTAGAAACTAAAAATAACATCTAACTTCCATACACATCCTTATTAACAAGATAATTTTCAGAATAGTAACTAATCCTTCCACAAGCTTTAAACAAACCAGCTCGCGAGCTTAGCTCAACAAGCCACCGAGTCAAGCTAGCTCACGAGCTTATCAAGCCGAGCATGGCCTAGCTCAAGGTTGGCTCGTTTACTAACGAGCCGGCTCGCGAGCCGGCTTGTTAAACAACGAGTCTAGTGTCGAACGAGTTTTTTTCGATTCGAACGCCAAGTTGCTCACGAGCGGCTTGGCTCATTTGCAGCCCTAGGGTTAACCAATGTAACATAACATTATTATTATGCGAGAAAAATCACATGTTAATGCAATTATTCATAATGTTTATACTGAATAAAATATAACAATCAACTAATAGTTAACCTCAACACATCAAACTAAGATAATTGTACAAGGGTAATGAATTATGTGTGTTTGTGTTAGAAACCGATTTCTGTAGGGTTTCTCAATTTATTAATATAATTATTATTAGGATAATTATCAATAAGGTTAGTAGTCATTTAATATAATTAGGTTTATTGTTAGGATTTTTGGTATTTCCTATATAAATGTACTTTGGGTTTCTATTCAGAATTAATCAGAAAAGAATTCAGAAAAGTCTATCTCCCTAAACCCTGTTCTCTCCCAAATCCTCTCAATTTCTCCTCTATCCCTAATCCGGCCGGCGACCATTCTCTTCTGTCCTTCCCCAATTCTTCTCTCAAATCCCTAATTCTATCTTATCACTCAATTCCCAAATATCCACCGAATCCAAAACCCGTTAGAAACTTTGTTTCTAACAGTTTGTGTGGATTGACTATCTTATAGCATTTATGTGAGGCTGAAAAATATCTTCCTGGTATTTCATGCTTTCATTCAACATTATACATGAGATTTATCTACATTAGTAGCTCATATGTTGTTGCCTAATGTCTACAAGAACATTAATATATGTAAAGATGAAGTTAGGTTACTGTTGCCTAACAATCTATATTTTGATACCCCAAATTTAATTAAATCACAACTTAGTTACTATAATGTAAATTTTAATTTTGATATCCCAAATTTAATTTTAATATAAAATCATTGAAAATTTATGTTTTGATGCCTAAATTATATGAGATTTTCGTACCTACAATTTTTTTAAATTTACATATTGGTCCAATGTTTAGATTTCACTTGAATCCATGAATCCAATCCAACAATCCTTTAACCAATCCATGAATCCAATCTACCATAACATAAAAATATAAATTTAGTTTGTACAATACAAGATGTTATATCACTCAAGGGTATGAGAAGATTCGACCATTTTATATTTTCTCTTTACTTAAAAAATTAAATAAATGATAAAAGAGATGCGTCTCTAAAATATCGCAAGAGCGAATTTATAAACTCATTTAGAATAACCTAACAATCTACATTTTGATACCCCAAATTTAATTAAATCACAACTTAGTTACTATAATGTAAATTTTAATTTTGATACCCAATTTAATTTTAATATAAAATTATTGAAAAATTATGTTTTGATGCCTAAATTATATGAGATTTTCGTACCTACAATTTTTTAAAATTTACATATTGGTCCAATGTTTAGATTTCACTTGAATCCATGAATCCAATCCAAAAATCCTTTAACCAATCCATGAATCCAATCTACCATAACATAAAAATATAAATTTAGTTTGTACAATACAAGATGTTATATCACTCAAGGGTATGAGAAGATTCGACCATTTTATATTTTCTCTTTACTTAAAACATTAAATAAATGATAAAAGAGATGCGACTCTAAAATATCGCCAGAGCGAATTTATAAACTCATTTAGTACATTTACGGGAACTAAACAAACTTCTACTAACTACATGTAACAAAATATGCAACATCTACATTCGCAAGTGTTGATAAATTGCTTCAGGAAAAGGGTTGATTGTTGCATTGATGGCCAACTAAAAAAATTGGTCAAAATCTTTCCATCATCTACTTCCTTTTCGTTTCAAATTCCACTTGCCTACCATAACCGTTTCTTTATTTCTTTCTTTGCCTTATTCGTCTAACCCTAATTAGTATACTATTTTTATGTATTCTAATCATAATTATGATCGGGTCCATACACGACTCACCAACAGTCTAGAGAACTAATAATTGAACTATGAACCACTAACATTTTTCAGTTCAATGTCGAGCCCAATTAAAAATAAATATATATGGTAATTACTTATTAGAAAGTCGTCATTTTCCACTATGAGATTTAATATGTGGAGATATCTAGTTAAACATTCCATGTATATTTGTTGAAAATTCTTACCTAGGTGAAAAGAAAAACTATAGAGAGAAGCAAAAGCAATGCAAACTCCCATCTACAAACTTTCAAACTCATATATACGTCACTCATACCCTACCCATAATCAATGTGTCCACTTGGGTTAGGTAAATATCATTTACTAGCCCAAATTTTCAAAAAATATTCTAATTGGATGTTGATCGCCATATATCTCTTCTCAGTTAATACTTAATATCATATTGTCAAGTCAATATTACTTAAAAAATTGCTAATAATACTAACAAAACACTATAACAAACCACATAATATATGCTCATAGGCCATCTCCGCCCACGACAAGGCGCGACATCGCTACCTAGTATAGTATAAAAGCAATTATAACCTCTGTTTTTTATGGGTCCAAAAAGAAGAAACGCTCAACTCTTGAATGATTATGGAAAGCATAAGTATGAGATTTATAATAGGTTAAATATATTGTCTAATTGATTCGATTAGTTGACAATATTTTCAAATATTTTACCAAACCAACTAAATCAAACAATTTAAAATTTCTGACCAAACCAAACTAATGCCCCGTTTGAACAGCCTATTTAACGAGCAAAGAGGAACGAAGGCAGTATGCATCCATCTGATAGAGATACTTAATGCCATAGAGTAACGTGTACAAGCTATACCCTCCCTTAATTCTTGTGAATAGTTTTCGTCGGACTTTTGGTCATATCGTTAGCATAAAATACATGATAATTACAAGTCTCGGGCAGTACCCAACAATAAGCATGTGAACCGAAACACACATCAATTTCATGTATCGATCCTTACCATCAATCCAAATCGTAAAATCTTCACAATTCAAATACACAAAAAAATCTTAATGACATACTCATATACCCATATTCTAAGACCTGTCTATTTCAAACCAAACGCCCCTATATTCTTTTTCGGGGGCATTAGATGGAGGCATGCCCCATACAATAATACTATGGAGTATCGTCCGACTTTTCCATAATAAAGTGTTTGATTAAGTATCTCCCGAGATTTGCTCCAATAATAGTTCAGCTCAATCATGAAAAGGTAATTAGACATAAAGGGGATCCACTTCAATCAATTAACATGTTAGTGGCATGAGATTCGACTCTCTGTCTTTGCTTGCTTATCTTATATGCACAACTATATATGCTCGATTAGGCTTTGGCTCAAGTCCTAATCCTCTGATTTGCCAGAAAGCTGTTGCAACTTTCAGTAAGGACTATCAGAAGAGAACCCATTTCAGATACGTGCAGATTATGTACAATATACCCTTCTATGTACACATACTGTATTCAAATTTATGTAATACTACATTCTACTTACACAGACTGTATTCAGGTTTTGGAATCCACATCAGGTATAAAGATAAACTGGTGAGCCAAGAAAGAAACAGAGCAAGGGTTTTACCGAGTTGAGGAAGGCTCGGAATGGAAACAAAGTCTGTGGATCTGTTTCCCCATTTTCAGTCTGCGGCACTTTGCTTTCTAAGCCGCTTTCTAAGCCTACCTTCCATTTAGCTGGCAAGTGGCATCACGGCTTGGCTTAACTTATCCTGCGCCGGGCGGCTGCTTTACCTTCCACAAATCTTCCTTTACTGTGCTGAGCAATCTTTTTGATCGTTCGCCTGTCAAAGAAAGGACCTTCAGCTATCAGGGATACCAAACAAGAGAAACCAAACAAAAAGAATTGAAAGAAGATGGGAAGCCAGAAAGGGTGACAATTGATCAAACTCTAACAGGAACCACATGAATGAAGCTTTTTCCTATGTGCTGATTTGACCATTTTCACGATTTGAACTAACGAAAAACCTACTTATACTTCCTGATGTTTGGCACCAACTCTCAATCAACTCGTCGTTTCGATAGCCTTGTCACGACCGTACTCTTATCTACTGTTGCATTCGGTTCAGAACCCAGTCGGGCATATGTCGTTCATAGTTTATGAAAAGAGAATAGGCCAGAAATAACAAAATAGAAGACAGTAATCCATCAAGAAGGCAACTTTATTGCATCGTGAACTGTCAACAAGGACAACAACTGATAGCAGATTTTCATGTTTCATTCAAACTTTTCGTTTCATACTGAATTCACCAGATTCAAAATACAACAGACAACAACATCATAGTACCATTTTCCCTTTATTCTGCAAGTAAAATGACACACAACAAAGCGAGATCAAAGCTTGGCAAAGGCAGGCTTCCTTTTCTGCAATTGTGCCGAGATGGCCTCTGTTAAATCATCAGACATTAGCATTGCAGAGTTCCAAGTTGCTACATAATCCAATCCTTGATCTACATTCATATCCCTGCTCTTCAAAACCACGGATTTCGTTCCAATCACAGCAAGCGGCGATTTTGCAGCAATTCCTGCTAACAAATTCATTTACTAAATAAGCAAAACGACCTAAAATAATCAGTAATGGACAGAACAATATAGGCATAGCCGAGTTTTATTAACCTTCTGCAATAAGTCTCACGCCTTCACCCAATTCCTCCTTGGAACCAAAAACCCGGGAAACCAGACCCAACTCTTTGGCCTCCTGACCCGAGAATCTGCGACCCGTTAAGCTCAATTCCATCGCGTTCCCAAACCCGACAATCGCAGGAAGCCTCTGCAGCGTCCCCAAATCAGCAGTAATCGCCAAATCCACCTCTTTGACGGAAAAAAAGGCTTCCTCCGTGCAATACCTTACATCACAGGCGGTCACGATATCGATTCCACCGCCGATGCAGGCTCCACGGATCGCGGCAATGACGGGCTTTCTGCACAGCTCGATCGCCGTAATGGCGTCCTGCAGGAACTTGATGTCCCGGCGGAGCCACTCGTTGGCGCGTCCTGGACGGAGGGATCCGGACTGATTTTTTATGGAGGCGAAGGTTGTTAGGTCAATTCCGGAGCAGAAGTGGTCGCCGGTGCCGGAGAGGACGATTACACTGACGCTAGGGTTTTGGTCGAGGGAGGCGAGGGCTTTGGGGAATTCTGAGAAGAATTCGCGGGATAGAGCGTTGCGCTGCCGCGGGCGGTTGAGGTAGAGGTATACGACCGAGGAATTTTGCTTGATTGCTAGGGTTTCGTAGTTCACCCCTTCCATTTTCGCCGCCTGAGCTTCGGCAGACAGAGTGACTGAGCGAATCGGGAAAAGGACGGCAGGGAAAACGAAATTGTTGGGAAATTGATAAATTAAAATTGCCACTATTTAGTTTATAAAAAAAATAAGTCAAAAGTCAGAACAGAAAGATTACGAATTTAGCGGCGATAGTAAAAAGGTCCTACCGGGAGTCGAACCCAGGTCGCTGGATTCAAAGTCCAGAGTGCTAACCACTACACCATAGAACCGGTCGTTTGTGTTGTAAGGACCCATTAACTTACTCATTCTTTAAACGTATTAGGGAAACAAATAACACAGACTATTCAATGGTAAGGATGCGCAAGGATTTTAGTCACAGTAAATAGTGATGTCACTTGATCTTGACGAGGTCAAATTGATATGCAAGTTGATTTTGTTTTCACTCATAAGTCCCCAGTTTAAGAACTTTTAACTATGACTCCTTGTGATTCTCAAGGACTTTTCGAATATGGGTTAATTATGAATTAGAATAAAGGCATAAGTTTTATCTAGTTTTAAAAGAAGTTATGTGTACGATTAATTTATTTTTATGCATTTAATTTGTTGTGATTCCATGGTTCTTTCCAAAATATAAGTAAGAGGATCAAAACCAAAGGCCTTCTCGATCTATTGTTCATCACTTTCTTTCCAATTTTCTTCTTATTCTAGTATGAGAGATGGATCAAACATTAATTAGCCCTCTTAATGATTAACATTCTCTCATGTGAAGTAGTTTTTGTTTAGAAAGACGCACATGGTAGATCATTATTATACTTCATCTATGATTGTTTATATCCTATCAAATTCAAATCAATATAATGATTCACTCTTAAATGGGAAACAGAATTGGTTCCATTGGATATGGTTGGATATGGTAGAGATGGGATTCGGTTAAACTCTTTGGTAAAAGTAAGAAATTAGAATTTTGGGTTAATATATTTATATGTCATGAACTTTGCACATAATAAATATCTTGGTCAATCTTTTCGATCTATAACATCCTGGCCAAAACTATACATCAAAGTTACTAAATTGGCCAAACTCGATGTTTGACCGTTATCTTTGACGGTCAAATGCGTTGACTAATGGTCAACGTGCCACGTCATTGCCAACTCAGCACCTTTCACTTAAACAATTATATATTTTCCACCTATTAATTTTCAACATAATAACCATTTATTTTAAATATTTTATTTAAATTATTTTATTTTTAAATAAAATATTCATTTTTATAGGTGGGAAATATATAATTTTTTAAGTGAAAGGTGCTGACTTGGCAATGGCGTGGCGTGTTGACCGTTAGTCAACGCATTTGACCGTCAAAGATAACGGTCAAACATCGAGTTTGGCCAATTTAGTAACTTTGATGTATAGTTTGGGTCATGATGTTATAGATCGAAAAGATTGGCCATGATGTTTATCATGTGCAAAAGTTCAGATCATACAAATATATTAACCCCAGAATTTTCAATGGGATCGAATGTTTATATGCTTCTATTCCTACTTTCCATTTCGTGTATTTTGATTTGTTTGTAGATTTTTTCATATAGAGTCTTTGAAATTTATTAACCAATAAATTAATTGTGATTACTTGTGAAATTTATTAACCATTAAATTAATGGGTTAATATTTTCGTATGGCCTGAACTTTGACCAAAATAAACATCATGGCCAATCTTTTCGATCTATAACATCCTGGCCCGAACTATACACCAAAATAAACAATTTGGCCAGATCCGACTTTTGACCGTTAACTTGGACGGTCAAATGCGTTGACCGTTAGTCAACGCGCCATATCACTGCCAAGTCAGCATAAAATATTTAAAATAATTCACAATTTCCACACATTCCCTAATTTTAAATTATTATAAATTAAAAAAATCATCTAATACCTTAGTTAAACAAAAAATGAAAAATGAAAAAAATTAAATATTTATCAGATCTTCTGATTTGGCACTAACGTGGCAGTGACGTGGCGCGTTGACCGTCCTAGTTAACGGTCAAACACCGGGTTTGGCCAAATTGTTTATTTTGGTGTATAGTTCGGGCCAGGATGTTATAGATCGAAAAGATTGGCCACGATGTTTATTTTGGTCAAAGTTCAGGCCATACGAAAATATTAACCCTAAATTAATTGTGAAATTTTTTTGATATGGATTTAGGACTCATCAGGGTTCTTCTTTGTCTTTGTCTTGCAGGTATGAAGCTTCAGGGTCAGATAATATCTTTGGCACGCGAGGAGAGAATTGGCGAAGTCTGACACTCGGATCTAAGAGGGTGTCCATCAGCAAAATCAACAGAAAAGCAGAAGGGATGTTTAAGCTTCAGGTGGAAGACAACAGAAGGAGATGGTTTGTCTTATTAGATGAAAGTCAAACTCTTCAAACGGCGGCAATGAGGGATTGGAAGCTCCCCTTCCACTGTGTCAAAAAGAGTGGTTCTCGTTCCATCCATGTCGGGAAGTTCAACAAACACCGTGGAGAGTTCTTACAGATATTCGAACAAACAAACACAGACAAAGTTTTCAAAGTGATCATCCCGGCCTCGGGAAACAATCGCGGATGGGCTAAGGCGATTCATCTCCTCCAAGTTTTCTATAAAGCTGAACTTCGCGCCCGCATCCACCACGATCAATTAGCGACCAATATCCCGTCCGAGGGCGCCATACATGCTGATCGTCATCAGCATTCTTACGCAGATGCAATCAAATACAGGGGCTTTTATGGAGGAGGAAAATGCTCCATCAGAACCAACCATGAAGGAAGTTATATTGACGTTGGCAGTGAAGGGATCAAGGAGAGAACCGACATCCTTGACAGAAGTTTACTCATTTCGTCCGAAACCAATAGCAACACCTTCTTCAGCAAAACTCTGGTGCCTGAATTTTGGAAATGGGCCGCAAAAGCCTGGGCTATCGACGACAACTATGCTCTAGAGGATCGTTCCAATGGCAGTTGGTTCCTCATTTGTCCGTCCATCGCCGATGCTCTACCCATTCAGAAAATCGAGAGATTGCAGTTCAAGGATTTCACAATCAAGATGCGCAGTAGGGAGGCCTTCAACAATCACTCTATGGAGTCAGGAGGATGGATTCTAGCCTTCAACATCCCGCTACAGCTCAAAAGCATCGAATTACTCAAAGCTATTGGAAATTTCTGCGGAGGATTCGTCGATCTTGACTGGGTCTCTTGGTCTCTTCCCTTCGTACGTATTAGAATCAAGAAGAATCCGAGCATACTGGAGTTTATTCCTGTTCGTCGCGGTCCAAATGTTTACCAAGTCAAAATTTTCGTTCCTCCGTCAGGAATAGAAGCCTCACCGGAAGTTTCCTCTCGTCAATGTCAGGGTCAGGAGATCAACAGGCGTCACTCGGATTCTGAACCCACTTTACCCGCATGCAGCAGCCGCCCTCGACGTACGTGGCCCTCGAACTCCAACATGATGGGAAGCCAAAGCGTCTCTTTGAACCATAGAGATCCTAATGGGCCCTCTTCATCTAACAAGAAAGATGGACCAAAACACATTTGGGTCCGTAAGGCTGGGCCCATTTGGATACCTCCCAAAAATCAGCCTGCTTCTGCTGCTTTCGCCTCTCAGCCCAAACCCCTAACCCTCCCATCACCCGTAGCGCAATGCTTTAATCCGATCGGCCGCCACCCCCTGCCTCTCTGTCATCTTCGCACCTGCCTAATTCAGATACTTTATTTCCGTACCCAAATATGTTCAACTCCATACTCTTCAACCTTCCCCTCCCTCGATCAATCAACACACCAATAATCACTTCAACTTCCCTCCCTCACCTCAACCACCACCAATTCCCGTCCATTTTCACCTTATCCGACCCCCTAGTCAGTTCTCTTTAACCTTCTCTTCTAGGCATCTCAACTTCCCTTTACCTCCCACCATCCTTTCATCGCCTCCACCACCCCTTTCTCCCTCACTCTCCCACCTCCCGAGCCAATTAGCTGCACCAAAATCAAAGACATCTGGGTTTCTGAAACCCCTCAATTCTATCCGGCCTCCCCCTCCCTCAAACCTCCTTCCATCGGTTTCTCTTTCAAGAGCTTTGAGAATGAACTTCATTCCTCAGAATTGGGCGGAGATGAGTCATTCTTCGCTCCCGATACCTTTGTGCAGAATCTCCCTGTGTCTAATGTCGGCGCTAATTTTGTTTCTCTCTCTTCAGATTTGCGCGATAATGAGTCATTTCTTGCACCAAATTCCACCATGTAGGCTCTCCCTGAACTCAATGAAGAAGCTGATTCCCACCTTCCCTCTCCCTCATGCTTCACAGATGATCCGATAAGCAGCCGGGACACTAGCGTCTACCCCTTCGATGCCAACTCCTTAGAGGAAACTTGTATTCAACTCAGCCATCTGTTCGAACTTAGCGAAGAGCATGCTAACAATCAGGTTGACAGTTTCATCGATCACACAGCTCAAGAGACGCATCAGAGAAAGATCAGAGGTCACTGTTCTAAATTCGAGATGGAACCTCGTAGATTGGGAACCCTTGCACCTCCTTCGTCGGGGTCGAGGAGCTGCAGAAAACAGGTTAGAGGGTCTACTAGTGATCCTTAATGATGAATACGGCCATATTCGTTTGGAACGCCATAGGATTGGGTGACTCGGACAAAAGGGATTGAGTAAGGAGAATTATCAGATCTAAGAAAGCAAGTATAATAGGCATCGTGGAAACCAAGTGGGCTTCTTGTACCGACGAACTTGTGAAAAGCATTTCAGGCAGAGGTGATTTCGGCTGGGTGGCTAAGAACGCAATTGGTAGTTCAGGAGGTATTGTTATAATTTGGGATAAGCTCCAGTTCCAGCAACTCTCTAGCTGAGAAGGAACTTTTTTCATCGACGTCGAATTCAATGATATACAGAACTCGAGCATATGGCACTTGGCTATCGTTTATGGTCCTCAAGACCGGGCGGATAAATTGGTTTTCCTTCAGGAACTTCACAAGTATTGTCAGAGTGTTCAAGGCGCCTACTGTATTGCGCGCGATTTCAACTTAGTCAGATGCCATGAAGATTATACAGGCTCAAGATGAAGTACTGATCTCATGGACAGGTTTAACGATCTTATTGATTGCAATGCTCTTATTGAAATCCCCCTTGGCGGCATCCATTTCACCTGGTGTCATGGAGCAGGTAGTTCCTCTCTTTCCAGAATCGATCGGGCATTCATCTCCATTGGTTTTTTATACCACCACTCCCACCTATTCTTTGACTGCTCTTCCTTGCGTCGATTCTGGCCATAGCCCCCTCCTCATCTCCTGGGGAGAT